CAGGTCGCTGGCTTCTCCAGCAGCATCCAGCCATGGCTACCATCTACAGGCATCCCACCCCGTCCTTCTATTGGAAAGGAGTAGGGAGGAAAATGAGGGAATGCAGGGCCCACGGTCAGAGAGAAGCCATGGGGCAGAGAGGGTAGGAAGGTGGTGCCAAGGGAGACCGCCCTCCCAGAGCACAGAAGGATGAATACCACGGAGACGAGAGTCATCTACCCACTCCAAGGGCCTCCAGAGCTTTTCTCTCCCTCTTTGCGTCCATAGCGCTTAAGAGAAAATGGGATCTTTTGGTATGCAAAAATAACACGTGGTCATTGAAAAATCTGAACGTAGAAGCAAATCCTCCTAGAGCAGTATTTATCGAACACTGTATGCGTGGCCAGCGCTAAGCAAGTGCTTTGAGACACATGACCCCTTTTAGTCATTCCGTGACTTTGGTTGCGAGACACCCTCTCCCCTGTTTAACAGATGGCAGAGCTGGGCTTAGAGATATATTCGTCCACAGTCGTACAGCTGCTGAGCGGCAGCGCTGGTGTCTAAGTCTGGGTCTGTTTGATCCCAAAGCCCGTGTTTTTTATTAATTTGACATCTTGCCCAAGATTTTGATATATTTATCTCCTGACGTATGAGCTGTGTGCACCGGGGGCAGGGGCGTGTCTGCATGGAGGCGGGTGGGGAGTGCGGGAGGGTGTTTGTGGACCGTCTCCATGCTCTGCTAGCCTGTGTCTTAAGAAGGAGCTCCCGGTTGGTCTGAGAAGCGACCTACTGTGAGAAATTGTCACGACACAGCAGGGGCTATGAGGGCAATGGCAGAGGTATGTGCCAGGTGCTGTGGGCACCTCCCTTCCCTTACTGACTCCCTTTCAGGAATGTTCTTTTCTTGCAGCTGGCTAAAGAGTACGGCATGGACTTCTATGAAACAAGTGCCTGCACCAACCTCAACATTAAAGAGGTGAGCGCTCCGAAGCCCAGCTACCCTGCCTCTTGGGCTGAGTCCAGTAGAGTGGGGAGACAAGAGGAGGCAGCGGACAGGACGGGAGCCTGGGTCAGATGAGCCCCCGCCCCTGGGACAGTTACAGGGCTGCCTTGGGAAGAGGAGGAGGAGCCCGACTAACCTGTGACCCTTGGTTTCCCAGTCTTTCACGCGGTTGACAGAGCTGGTGCTGCAGGCCCACAGGAAGGAGCTGGATGGTCTCCGGACACGTGCCAGCCATGAGTTGGCATTGGCCGAGCTGGAGGAGGATGAGGGCAAACCTGAGGGCCCAGCGAACTCTTCAAAAACCTGCTGGTGCTGAGGGTCCTGCGTGGAGCAGCCGCCAATCCCCCTCCCCTCAGGAGGCCTGTGGCAGACAGGGAGTCCGGGCTTTGCCCTGCTTCTCCTCTCACTCGGGTGACCCTGTGGAATACCAGTAGCTGCTACTCCCCTGCCTGGCCCTGAGAGCAGCCCCGCTGTCATCTTTGAGCAGCCTCTGCCCCCAGCCCCTCCAGCCTGGAGTGGCTCCCTTCAGCCTGTTTCCCTGCCACGGGTCTGCTATGAGCCCCCAGTACGCTACGGGCACTGTCTCACCGCCCCGAGCTCCCCGGACAGTGGCCCAGTCTGGAGTACGGCCACTTTAAGGCCCCTTCTTTCTCAGTGCATCTTGCCTCCTCTCTGCTTTTTCTCTCTTCCTCCCACTTCTCTTTCTTGTCCCCTTCCCCTCCAGTGTGTTTTGTATCAAAGCCCCTCACACCTCTTTCCCTGTATGTCCTCCTGTGTGGCTGCTGGTGCAGCTTCTTTCTTTCCTTTCTCCCTAGCCCTGTCCAAGGGAATGGACTCAGGCTCATGGGGATGTTCCATATTCTTCTTCTGGGAGAACCCCCCTGCTTTGTGAAGGGGCCAAAGCCTACAGGGTACTTCTTCCTATCTTCCCTCCCCACCGTCGCGTCTCGTGCCATGGGCCTGCCTCACCAATGGTCTGGGGAAATGTACATCAAGGCAGGAAGGAGACGCCAACCTGGTGGTCCTCAAGACTGGGGCTGTCCCACCTTTCCCTGCCTGCCCCCCCCACCCCCCAGCTTGGGCCTTGCTTGGCCGCCTGCCCACCTGCCTCTTGGGGGAAGTGAGCTCAGAAGCAGGTGCTTCAGAGAAGAAAACAAAATGTTGTGGGGAGGCAGGGATCAAAAGTCACCTCCGTTCTCTACCTCCCGTGCCCCTTGTACGCAGTTTCTCCCCACCTGGGCTCCTGAGTTTAAAGACATGCACCGAGGCCTCAGGGCACTGCAGGGGCAAGGAAAGCCAGGGGCCGGCGATATTGACAAGCAAACCACACACCCCCAGAAAGAGGAGTGTCTGGAGATGAAGATCTAGCCCCTATATATCAGGTTAAAGCAAGGGGGAGGAGGCCAGAGACGGCATTGTGCACACCAGAGGGGAATATGGCAGGAGCAGGGCTCCCTGGGCCCCGGCTTCCCTTTCTGTGTAAGAAGGGCCTTTCCCCGCAACCCCCTGGCAAGTAAGAGGGGACATATCCACCCAACCCAGCCTTCAGCTCTCAAGGTTTCGCTGAGACTCAAAGTCTGTGGGAGAAGAGCTGTGACTTCATGGGGAGAGAGAAAGAAGGCCCTGGGTAGAAATGCTTGGTGCTGTTCTCTTCAGCCTTCCAGACAAAGTGCTCATCTTGCCCCTCTAGCTCCTGGAACAGGAGCCACCGGCACTGTGGCTACAGGAGGAGGGAAGTGGACTCCCTCCTCCAGAGCTCTTCATTCAGGAAGAAGTTCCTTTAACCCCACATGGCCCAAGAGTGGCTTGAAGGAGGTGCTTTAAAGAAGGAACAAGTCAGTTAGCAGCCCTAGTAGGGTTCCTCCCCACCTTCCCAAGGAGGAGGCTCATTCTTAAGCTACATATTAGCAGCATCACATGGCTAGGGCTGGAGCTAAGACAACACTGAACGTTCATCAACTAAGGACCAAAGTCCAGGGCACACACAGGTGAAGGATTAAGAGCCCCACTTCCTTATTCCTCCCAAAAAAAAAAAAAAAAAAAAAAAAAAGGTGGGGAAGAAATGACCAAACCTTTCCTTCTGACTCTTATCAGAGTAGGAGAGGGTAGCTCAGGATGCAGGGACAGGGATAGGTTAACCGTAGTGGAAGGAAAAGGAGAGCAGGAATAGTTATAAATTGTTAGCTAATGAGAAATTTAGATAAAGACTCTTTAGGATGAAGTCATGACTATGGCTGGGATGCTTTCTTGAGGACTGACTCCTCAGGTGTTAGACACAGCATCACACTGGGGGCAGGGAGATGGTTATGCCAACCCACAGTGTGCCCTCTGCCAGGGACTTCAGGGCGCTGGCTCCAACCTGGATCAGTATTGCAGCTTTCCCTGAGGATCAGGCAGAGCACCATTGCCTTTCTCTCCTGGCCCCCTTGGGACAGAAGGACTATATTTTTACTGTACCCTAGGGGTTCTGGAAGGGAAAGCATAGGGTGGAGATTCTATGAACTGATTAGCCCCATCCCCAAGGGCCACAGCTGGGGAGAGGTATGGGAGCCAGAGGGTTGAACTTTTAGGGTGCAGCTATGCTCACAAGGAATTGGAGTCGGCATCTCACCCCTAAACTTCTCCAGTCCAAGAGGTGGCCTGGGATCTGGCATTAGGCCCAGAGTTTTGCACAGGTACTTCTGCCTGTTTACTTATCACCTCTGCATCTGCTGTCTTGAGATTCAGCCCAGCCCCAGGCATTTCCACCTGCTCCAGAGCCCCCACCATCTCCCTGTGACGGGTGAACTTTGTGTACTGTGTCTCAGAACCAATATATGACTTGTGAGCAGGGTTCATCTATTTTAAACACAGATGTTTACAAAATAAAGAATATTTCAAACCAGAGGTATGGCTGCCTGTATGAGTCCCCGGGAGTAGTTTTCACTTGACCCTGTCAGATAAGGGGGAGAGGGAGAGGCAGTGCCAGTAAAAGAGGCTCCAGAACCCTATAAAGCAACAGTAGTAGAATGACAATGGAAGCAGCAGACCGTCATCTTCCTTATTGTACCTTTCCTGATGCCACCTGCAGGGGAGCCCAGCCATACCCCCGATGCTCTCTAGTGGGCCTACAGTGCAGAAATAAGATTGAGTCACTGGCAGGATGCTGAATATCTATGTCTGAAGGAGTCTTTAAAGCCAAGAACGTTCTCCTCTGTCTGGGATGGACAGGAACAAGTCTTCCTGAAGGCATGAGGAGGGATTAAGTAATCTTTCACTCTGCATTTCCTGCCTCCTTTAATGGCCAAAGATTCCATTCCCACTCAAGTAATGGAGGCTTGTTTTTAGGGAGCAGCCAGTAGAGACACAGGTTCCCATGGGCTCTAAAGACCTATGGAACAGGCCACAAAAGCCAGAAAAGCTGGACACTCCCTGGTGACTAGTTCCTCCATCTTCTCAGCAAATCAGATTCTCAATACCAGCTGCTCCCAAGCCTTGCTTATTTGTTCTCGAAGACAATTCCCAATGGACATGTACCTGTGAAAACACTCTCTAGTAAACATTTGCATTGTTATTGAAGTAACACTCTAAAAATCCCAAAGCCAGGTAGAGTCTAATTGCCAGTTTTACTGGTAGAGAAATCCAGACATTAAAAAAAAACAAAAACAAAAACAAAACACAAATTTGTTGAGCTGGTAGGTGCTTGGAAGAATGAAGCACACTAGCTCTTCCCTTAGGTCCTCACATGTCCTGCAGTACACTGCATATCTGGGGCTGAAAACATCACAGGTGGCCCGACTCGGTCTAGAACCATGGAAGCTTTGGCTCCCTGCACACTTCTTCCATGGGGGAATGACCAGCACCAGCCTGCTGTGAGCAGTCTTTGGGACTGAGTGTCTGAGAGAAGGCAGGTGCAGCTCATGCCCTTGGAGCTATTCACCTGCTCTGCGACTCCTCCCCATTACCCCGACCATGACTGATGTCAGCCGCATGACCCTGTGGAGCAGAGTGGAAGGCCTCTGCAGTGCCATGCAGGGGGGCAAAGGCACAGGCAGTCTCCAGCACCAGTAATATCACTCACTGAAAGACTTTCCAAGACAAACTTCATCTCTTCTGCCTGGTGCAAGCTGAGCCACTGAAAGCCATTATTTCTAGAAAATCACACTGTCCTCCTAAGGGTCCCTTTGATTTTGTGCCCGTGGAAGGCAACAGCCAAAGAAAAACACATGCACGGTAATATATAGGTTTCAGTTGTAGTCTGAGTTGAGGGAACATGTATCCCAATTCTCTTCCTCATCTTTCAGATCTAGGCAGACCCTGACCTCTCAGTGGCACAGTTCAGAGCCTGGCCCTCCGCAGACAATAAACGTCTGTGCCAAGTGAGAACAACTTGCTGGGGCAGGTCGGAGTCAATCCTGCATCCCTCCCTCCCTTTTTTCCTCCCCATTTGACCTTTGGGGCTCTAGTTTCCTGCAAGTAGTGAATTATTCATGTTTGCACATAGATATCAAATTGGCCCTTCCCAGGTTGCCAGCAGGGTGGGGCAGGTAGGTGGCTTTGTTCAGAGTCTGTAAATAGGAGGAGCAACCTCCTTGTTGAAACAGCACTTACAGGTGGGTGACTGTTTTTGCTAAGTCATCCTGGGGATGCTCAAAGCCCCATTGTGAAATCCTTCCTGTCCGGCCAGGCTCCTCCTTCCTCCCCACCCCTTTAACAGACCCTTAAGCGGGCTCACACCATTCTGCAGGTCTCAGTCTGCACCTTCACCATGGCTTACATAGCCAAGTCTTTCTACGACCTCAGCGCTATCAGCCTGGATGGGGAGAAGGTAGATTTCAATACGTTCCGAGGCAGGGCAGTGCTGATTGAGAATGTGGCCTCGCTCTGAGGCACAACCACTCGGGACTTCACCCAGCTCAACGAGCTGCAATGCCGCTTTCCCAGGCGCCTGGTGGTTCTTGGCTTCCCTTGCAATCAATTTGGACATCAGGTGAGGGGTCCCTTGCATTGTACCCAAGGAGGTGGGATGGTGAAGCTTTGGTAGGCTAAGGGGAGGGGGAGGATGACCGTGTGTTGGAGTGTCTGGAATCACAGGTATGTTTTGTTAATCCAGGTCTTTAGGTACATGTGAATACCAGGGGGAAGTGTATGTGGTTCTAACTATGCTTAAACACTGTTTATTGTCTTTCCATTACACTCCATGAGGGCTGGTACCAGGTCTGTTTTTCTCTCCACTGTAGAGAGGGCACTCATTAAATATCCACTGAATGGATGAGTGGAGGACATAGATCAACAGTCAAACTAGGATTGGACTGACCCAGGGGACCTTAGTTCCAGCTAGACATGGTTTTGCTATTTAGTGGCTCTGTGCCCTACAAAGAGTCACTTGATTTTTCTGTTTTAGTTTCCTCACCTGTAAATGGGGGATAGTATCATTTATCTCACAGGATGACTGGGAGGTTCAGGGGATAAGATACACAAAAATACCTTGAAAAATACAAGGTAATATGCAAGTGTAAGCAACTGTATTATTTAGATTAAAGGATTTTGTTTTAAATCGGCCAAGTGGAGGGTGATTTTGGTGGAAAGCTAAGGGTTTACAATATGCACGTGTTTCCTCTGGGCATCACATGCACCTCTCTGGCTCTGATTTGTGTGTGTGTGTGTGTGTGTGTGTGTGTGTGTGTCCCATTTGGATCGAATCTCTGTTTCTGATTACTGGGTCAAGTTATAGATCTTCAGCCCACACACTTCAAGTTCTCTTCTATTTTCACTTATTATTTTAACAGCAAAAGCAAGCAGAGTGTCCTCAAGTGAACCCTCTAATTATAACCCCCTTAGTTCGATTCACAGCGGCGTGAAGGCAAGGAAGAGATTAGCAGGGATACAAGCAGGAAGGCTGAAGTGTCTTTGGCTAGTGACAAATGTGAGCTCGAACCATCACGGCTTTCAGTGTTCCTTCCCTGTCTCCATCTGTTTCTAGGCTTGGCCAGGGCAGGCGAGAGAAAGGGCAAAACCTCTTTAGGAGTATCTCTTCGGCCTGAGAGGTGCCTCCACCCTTTACACCATCACCTCAGGGTAGCCAGTGGCTGGAGGGAATCCATAACCTACCCGGTAGCCAGTCAGCCATTTGCACGAAGAGATAAGAAGTCTAATAGAGCTCACCCCTGGGCTCAAGATGTCATGATGGCCTGGAACTGACTGTGCTGATTGGTTCTAGCAGGTCAGAGGCAAGAACTTTCTCCCACAGGGAGATATCTGACTCCTAGACTCAGGGGGAGGGGTGGAAAATAAGGGTTTCTAAGGGCCTTTGGAGTTGTCAGGGGCGGGGAATGCCCAGTGGGAATAGGACAGGGATGGCCCTGGGGAGGGAAAGACGGGTAGCAGGTTCAGAGCTAAAGCATTCACAGCTGAGTACAGTGAGTGTGGGGGGCAGGAGTCTTGGGATAGCAGTCTGGAAGCACAAGGAATGATAACTACACATTCACAACCTTTAGCCCTCAGGCACTTATTTCCTTAACTTCCCTTCCCCTGGCCTATTCCAGAACCCTAAACACTCTATCCTATTTAATTCATCCCTGTTTGTCACTGAGCAATTCCATTTAGAGTACATTCATTGTTATCTCTAACTCACTTCGCCTTTGTGGCACCTGAAAGCCAGATTTCCTTGGATGGCATCTTCACCAAAGCTTCCTCCTACTTACACTTCAGATCTAGGACAAAGCAAGATGAAAGCAAGAAGCTATAAATCCCATTTATATGAGCAGGATGGAGGCAGAGGCTATCACACTCACATATAACTAGAAGCCATGGAGGCAAATCAGGGCAGAGGGAAAGGGAAGGTGGTGGCAGGACGTGTGTGTGAGTGCCTGTGTGTAGGTAGTGGATGGGAGAGTTCTAGGTGGTAGGACTTGAGCCCTCTTTCCCTTTCTGTCTCCTACTCTGAACTCAAGGTTCCTTGAAGTTTCAGATAGATACCCTAAAAACTGTCCAGGGTAGTTTGGAGAGAGAAAGAATCGTTCAAAGTGCTAAATCATTGACTTTAAGAACAGCCAAGCTAGGAACCGCAAGGACTTTCAGGAATGGCCTAGCAAACCATCAAACAACAGCTGTGAGTGGGAAAACTCCAAGTCAAGAGTAGGACAAAGCCAGTGAAGAAGGAAAGAGAAAGAACAGAGGAGAAAAACGCTACATAGAAAAGAATAGTCCTGGGAACGGCATATAGGAGGGTGAAAGATTTTTTGTGGATCCTTCATTTCCCTCTTCCCTCTTCCATGCTCTTTGTCTTTTTCCTCCCCCAGGAGAACTGTCAGAATGAGGAGATCCTGAACAGTCTCAAGTATGTGCGCCCTGGGGGTGGATTCCAGCCCACCTTTACCCTTGTCCAAAAGTGTGAGGTGAATGGTCAGAACGAGCATCCCGTCTTCGCCTACCTGAAGGACAAGCTCCCCTACCCGTATGATGACCCATTTTCCCTCATGACCGATCCCAAGTTCATCATTTGGAGCCCGGTACGCCGCTCAGATGTGGCCTGGAACTTTGAGAAGTTCCTTATTGGGCCGGAAGGGGAGCCCTTCCGCCGCTACAGTCGCACCTTCCCTACCATCAACATTGAGCCTGACATCAAGCGCCTCCTCAAAGTTGCCATATAGACACAAGCTTCTCAGCACACAGACCTATTCCATCCAGCCCTTAGGTATCTTTCCTTAGGATTCAGAATGCCCTCAGGAGATACTGCTGGACCAAAGCTTTCCCTTGGGATCAGCCCCTTTCATTGAAGAGCCTTGCCTTTCCGGTCAGCCTATCTCCCTTCCCTCCCCCCAATCTTCTGGTTGGTGATTCTACTTGGAGCTCAAGACTTGGGTGGATCTGGGCCTTCACAGAATGATGGCATCTTCCTAAACTGTATGGGCGGTGTCTGAGGAGTGTGAAGGGCTCGGAGCCAGCCTGCTAGATGAGTCCAATAAAGGGCAGGTGTGGAAATGGCCGGGCTCTCTGTGTCTTCTTCCCAGACAGAGGGTAGAGGGACGGTACAAAACCACAGGTGGGCCAGACAGCTGGCAGCACACAAAGGCTTGATAGAGGGAGGCTCTCTCATCAGGGGGACACCGTAATAACTGTCTGGTCAGGTCAGGGTCTGCAGTGGCAAGTGGAGTTGCAGGAAATCTGAATTATACTATTACTCTATGGCTCCTCCAGAACTGGGCAAAGGGTGGTGATGAGAGGTAAAGCAAAGGAAAAGTCAGTGGTCCTTCCGTGCGGTATACTGGGAGGTTCGTTAGAGGACTCCAATCAGGAAGCTGTTGCTATCAGTGTAGGTTCTGGGCCAACTATGCATGACCTGCACTTTGAGATGTTGCTGGGACATGAATTTGGTCAACTCTAACTGACAGCAAGGGTATGGAGGGTGCAGTTACTGGGCACACAAAGAACACCTACCCTTTTCTCCTTGCCTTGCTGAGTAACATTTGCTTTGCTCCTTTAAAAACAATTTTTTTTAATCTTTTTTATTTTTGAGAGAGAGAGAGAGTGCGAGCAGGGGAGGAACAGAGACAGAGGGAGACACAGAATCTGAAGCAGGCTCTAGGCTCTGAGCTGTCAGCACAGAGCCCGACACGGAGCTCGAACCCACGAACCACAAGATCACGACCTGAGCTGAAGTCGGACACTTAACTGACTGAGCCACCCAGGCACCCGATCCTTTGCTCCTTTTTACAGTTCACAGTCCACCCTTGTTTTTCTCAAACTCACATGTTCTCAAATTCAGGCATAAGACAAACTGGTTTAGACATGAATGATTTCATTTTGAATTCCATGAGGGTGGGAATGGAAGAGGGCCTCCCTTCAGACAGTCAGACTGTTCATAACCTGCCAACATGAGAGCTATTCTCTGTGAGAACAGGGGTCTGCCAAATGGCTTTTGTAAGGATGGTGCCCCAGATTCCTCAGTTAGCACAGGCATACTCAAAAGGCACCAACACCTCCAAGGCCAGGTCCTATCATGTTCAAGAAAAGACACCTGCTGAAAGGCCACTGCCCTGTCACTTTGCCTTACAAACGTCTTCCTGGAAACTTCTCACGTTACCTTTCCTTCTTTGACCACTAGATGGAACATTTTACTTTTTTCACTGAAGCCCTGAAGGGACAGTTCTCCAAACTGGACACACTGCTTAAAAACCCCAATGCTGAGGGGGAAATCCCTTTCCTGTTATGTTCCCTACACTATTTTCTAAGCATCTGCATCATCTGAGAAGTAAATGTGGAATACAGGCTAAAGATCCTCCCTGTCTGACCTTCAGTTAAAGCTATGTCATCTGCGGTGCTTTATTTCAAAAAGGGTAACCTGAGCATTACAGTGGGAATCCCCTGGCATGCTTTTCAGGGCCTTCTGCTAAATTAAGGCTACCCTTACACTGACTCTTGGAAACGCAAGCCTTTCAAGATTCCTGTCCTTAAAGCCAACAGCTGGGGTATGGGTTTTTTGAGGGCAGGACGAGGCACTGATTTTAGAGGGATAACTGCAGGGATACATCACTTCTCTGAAGAAGTACACAATACATATTGGAGGCTAGTATGATTTGTGCATCATCTCGATAGTGCTATAGCTTATTGCTATGTCTAGTAACAGAGCAACTATCCTGGATGTTGGCATTATGCCACAGGCAATTTAGGGCCTGATATGCCTGATATGTGTTGGGTCTTTTCCTTGAGGCTCAACTTGAAGGAATTACCTAAAGATTCCCAAAGGATTAGGAATTACAGAAATGATTTTGCAGAGAGAGTCAGTAAGGGCCATAATGCTAGGAAAAGGGCTCCTCATTTGGGCAGGGGAAATGCTCCCTGCTTCAGAAGGGACCTGACCAGTTTGGCCCAGGAGGGAACAGGGAGGGCCGGACTGGGGGAACTTGTCTTACAAGGACATTTCATTTTTACTAAATCTTTAGTTGTGCTGTTGTTAAAATGAAAAGAAGTGAGAAATTGTTTCCTTTATTCCTCATCTTGCTTGTCTCCTTTTACAGCCTCAGCAGTATCAGCTTATGGTCATAAACAGACATGGCAAAGCTTAATATAATCAACCACTTTCAATCTTTTAATCAAATTTCCCTAGAGGCACTCAGGAGGCAGGGAGGTGTGTCATAAACAAGCTTTCCCGAAGAGCTGAGGTAATGCCACTCCATTTAGAGGAAGGATAGAGACAATCGTTTCTCTGAGGACTTGAACAAAAAAATAAAGCTTGGGAGTAAATGATTTTAGGGAACCAAGGGACAAAGACTAAAATTTATTATTTCTATGACTATGTTCCCACAGCTATGTCTTAGTTTAAGAAACACTGAGCCAAACTCTAATTGGTGACATCAAATCTGATTTCTCATAATCACCATTACAACTGTCATACAAACTATCATTTATTGAATATTTACTATATTCACACACTGCACTGAGTCCTTTGTATATCTTAGGTTACTTAATTCTCATACTGATTTTATGAAGAATTTTTGTCTCTATTTAAAGAGAAGGTAATTGAGCAAGACACCTGCCAAGGACAAAGGGCTCTAAGTAGAAGAGTTGAAAAGTTGAACCCAGGTCAGTCTGACTATAAAGGCTGTATCCTTTATTTCTGAGTGAGAGAGAGAGAGAGAGAGAGAGAGAAACAGAGTGCGAGTGGGGGAGGGGTAGAGACAGAGGGAGACACAGAATCCCAAGCAGGCTCTGAGCTATCAGCACAGAGCCCGATGCAGGGCTCAAACTCATGAACAGCTAATCATGACCTGACCCAAAGTCAGACACTTAACCAACTGAGCCACCCAGGCGCCCCTAAAGCCTGTACTCTTAATCACAACATGATAGTGTTTCCCTCCATCTCAAAGTTCCTTCATAAAGACCACTGATAGTTGCCTATAAGAGCATTGCACAACTTAAAATCATTTTCATCATTTTCACTTACATTATATCATTTGATTTAAAACTCTCTGGAGAAAGCATGATTATTTCTATTTTTCCATCGAAGAAGCAATGTACACTCAGTGTCCCAACATGAGCAGGTGGCAAAGCTAATTTTAGACCTAAGTCTCCTGGTTTCCTTTCTATCCAAACACACCGTATCTACCATAGAGACTGTACTACAGTCAAGAAACACACAGCCTAAAATTGAGAGTCTCAAATTCGGTGAAGTAACTTAACCTTGCTCACAAAAAAGAATAAAATGGAAAGAATTCTTGATACCTTGATAAAAAACACTAAACATATAACTCTTGGTAATTACTTATAAGTAATGAATCATATCTGGTTGTGCCCAGAATATATCATATATGAATTAACTAGTATTGTCAGAACCCAAGACCATTGGAGAAAGACTTGGCCAGCTAAAACAACACAACGAACATGTTGAGCTTTGAACTCCAAGAGCCTAAGTAGGCAGACTCCAAGAGACTAAGTAGGCAGATCTACACATCATGGAACAAGCAGACCCAAGAACGAGGAGCCAGAACAAGCCCACTTTCCCAATTACATCTATAGGTGATTTCTTTTCTTTCTTGTATCTCAGGAAGGAAAGTAAAGACTGATGTTTTTGCCTGGCTCCCCTTTATTTGAACAGAAAAATACAGATTCAGTGGAACTGGGTTGAAGAGGTCTTTATTTGATTAGACCCATAAAAGAATTCTAGAAGATAAAGAAAGTATCACAAAACACAGCACAAGGTTGGTTTAATAATGACATATGTGGATAGGACCTTACGTTTTAAATTTTGTAGGATACAGTCCAAAACAGATAGATAATTATACAGTCTGTAATAGACAAGGATATCAGTAGGGGCTTATAAAGTCATACCCTTGAACTCCAAATGACTAAGTTGGAAGCATTAGCAAACTCCAAGAAGGGACAATTCAGAGGCTATAATGGGCTTAGTGCTGCTATTTAAAGTAATGAAGCATTTTCTCTGCTTTCTGGATCCATTTCACCAAACGATTTCCTCAGCAGGTCAGATATAGATTTGCAGAAAAGTGGAAAACATCTTCCAGGAATAACACAACTGATCCCTGAGGAGCAGATGACTTAACTTTTCTGAATAACAAATCTTGGTCTGATGTGCCTAGATTCCACAGAGTGTTGTCACTGACAGTCTCAACTTGTTCCTAACCTTGTCAGACCCTTAGACTTCATGTGTGCCGAGCAGGAGTGTTGAGAGGGAGCCACTGTACTAGTTGTGTGACCTTAAGCTCCTTTAACTTCTTTGTGCTTTAGTTTCTTTGGCTCTAAAATTGGGATAACAATAGTACCTACTTCATGGAATTGTTAATGAGGATGAAGTAAGTGTTTAAAAAGGCCCTGGCATACAGTAAGTGCTCAATAAACCTCAGCATTAGCGTTCCTGTTATACAACAAAACTTCTCTGGTATCAACAATGAACACCTTGCTCACCTCACTTTAGCAAAGCTTTAGTTCAGAATTTCTTGGATATGAAGAGGAAACAATTTTGTTTCTAATGCCTGACTCTTTAAGTTTTGGTCTCAGACTGAGAAGAATCAACCAAAGCCATCGCATTGCCATCTAGTACTTGATATGCTTTCCAACACATTTTATATTCATTATTTATTTGGATCTTCTAACAATACTGTGAAGGAAGTAAAATATCAATTTTTATTAGCCTAATCTAATAGAAATGGGACAATAAAGACCAGAGTAACACTTTGCTTAATGGTTATACTGTTACCAATGGCAGAGAGGCCTAAATTCCAGTGTTTATAACACCCAAGCCAGTGTTCTTTCAACTACACAAGGTGAGATATTCTAAGATCTCTTTGGAGCAGCTGAAATCATTCTATTTACTTATGTTAATTAAAGTCTACACTTTATTCAGGTTTTGCTAGTTTTAACCAAATGCACTTTTTCTGTCCCAGGATCCCATCCAGGATACCTCATTACATTTAGTTGTCATGTCTCTTTAGTGAGTTTCCCAGACTTGTCTTTAATGGCCTTGACAATTTTGGGGAGTAACGGTCAGGTATTTTGCAGAATGGCTCTCAAGTGGGATTTGTCTGATGTTTTTCCCATGAATAGACTGGAGTTATGGGTTTTTGGGAGGAAGACCACAAAAGCAAAGCACCCTCCCATCATATCATATCAAGGGTACATGTTGTTATCAACAGGATGATCACTGAGGATGTTAATCTTGGTCACTTGGCTGAGCTAGTGTTTGTCAGGTTTTCCCACTGTTACTTTTCTCCTTTTGCAGCTCAACTCTACCCAATTCTGCTATACAGTCGGGAGTTGCTATTTATAACCCACACTTAAGGAGTAGGGAACATCTACATAACATTATTTGAAATTCTTCTGCACGGGCAATTTGTCTACTCTTCCAATTCATGTATTTACTTATTCAATCATTCACTTATATCAGTAAGGACTCATAGATATTTATAGTTTGGATTATAATCCAATACTACTTTATTCTGTTGCTCAAACTGTTCCAACTTTGGTCACAGGGAGCTCCTTGAGTTGGCTTTTTTGCCCCTTTGACATACTCCCAATCATTGTGTTTTGTGAGGGTATTTTTTGAGCACTTTCTTTGGGACACAAAATGCTCCAAGCTCGTCTTGTATATTTACTGCCCTCGTCCTAGAATCAATCACTTTTCCAAGGAGTCCTGGTTCCTTTTATTGGAACCAAGATGTGGGCATTAGGTATACTCCCATTCTAGTTATATCTTCCAGCCATATAACTTCTAATAGAGATCCTTCATTCTGGCTACATTCTGATGTGAACTGGGAACTTTAGCAGAGGAGCTCAGCATAATCCCCTAAATTACTTTTTCTTTCTAAGGATAGTTAAGTCTAAGCAGAAAAAAATATGCAACTAATTTCCATTATAAACTACGTAAGACAAACCATCAGGCTTGCTATATTGTAAACCAACACAACATAGTTACTGAAGAACTGCAGGGATCCTCAGAATAACAGAGTCATTTGTCGAGGGTCATCAGGGAGAATACTGATAGTATCTTCAGCTTTGCCACATAACAGACACAGCATGGTATACTCCTAGAACAAGATAAAGTGCATAATTACATTGAGGAACAGGGAGAAAGACACTCCATAACTTACTCTGGTAAAGCTATTCTCTACAAATTGGAGTGGATATTCCTTCTGTACATTCAGAAGGATATTCCTTCTGAAACTGTGTATCAGTTTCTTCAACCCCTACCAGGGATGTCTTAGGTTTATTCTGTGTATCCTGAAGTCTTTTGTTTATATAAATTGAATACAAGCTGATGCTCTATTTACTACATATACAAGAATGTCATCTTGGAAATGCATGGCTATATCTTGGATTTAAAACACATATTGGGCTTGGTTAGAAGTGCTGCTATTTAAAGTAGTAGTGAAGCAATTTGATTCCCTAAAGACAAATTCCTGTTTTTAGAGTTGTTCCTTTCTAGATTACTTAAGACTACTAAGCAACAAAAACGATTTTTAAAGTGAAAGAAAGGTCCCAAACTGAAAAAACTATTTTTATCAACTCTAAGAAAATAAATAATTATGTTATATCCACTAGTATGTCATGCCTCATATTTAGATAGCTAACTGTCTGGAATTTGATCTATTTAAGAAGTTTATGTTTCTTGGGCTTAAGAAATGTCCAGGCTGATAAAAAAGAATGAAATCTTGCCAACTGCAATGACATGGATGGAGCCAGAGAGTATAATGCCAAGTGAAATAAGTCAGTCACAGAAAGACAAATACCATATAGTTAATTTCACTCACATGTGGAATTTAAGAAACAAAGCAAATGAGCAAAGGAAAAAACAGAGAGAAATCAAGAAACAGACTCTTAACTACACAGAATAAACTGATGGTTACCAGAGGGGAGGTGGTGGGGAATGGTGAAATAGGTGACGGGGATTAAGGAGGGCACTTGTTGTGATGAACAGTGGGTGATGTGTAGAAGTGTTGAATCACTATATTGTACATCTAAAACTAATGTAACATTGTATGTTAACTTATACTTGGATTAAAATTTTTAAAAATATCCAGCCTGGTGACAGACGGGATTTTGTTTTAGGCAAGACTCTTAGGGCAAAGTCCTGTTTTTACAGTTATCTCTTTCTAGAATAAACTATATAAACATATTTCTTTTCAAACCTTTGCTTAAAAACCTCTTTATCTTCTTTAAGAAAACAAATATTAATGCTAAATCTATTAGTATTTCCACACTTCCAACTGAGATTGTTAAGCTGTCTGGGAATTGATCAATCAAGGCAGTTTGTGTTTCATGGGTCTAGACAGTCACTAGAGGGTCACAGAGATAAACAATGACGGTGGTTCAGACACTCAGACCTAGACAACTGGATTTCCATTTCCTATGAGTGAGTTCAGCAGGGAGCTTAGTTGTGGCAATGGAAAGATTGTTTCTTAAAGACCACACTTAATTTTGAGGTCTACTCCACACACACAATAGAGACAGAGGCCAGAGCTTAGAGAACAAATACAGGTCTCATAAATTAAAAAATGAAATAAAAATCCACCCTCTACAAGGTCTTTTACTGCTTTCAAATACTTCTGCTTTCACCTGCCAGACATTACTAGTAGTAGGATGTCAACATATCACTGGAAACGAAGAAGAAAACAATAATAAAGTCAAAATGGGAAAATGGGCAAAGCTAGACAAACATCTGAATTTTCAACCAACGTATCCATTGACAAGTTTTTATTTAGTGCTTAAATGTTTTGCAATGTGTTAGGTGCACTGGCAGATATGAGAGAAAACAAGGACAAGGTCTGACCTTGCAAAATTTACAATCTAACTTGGGAACAAGAAAAAACCTAGCACGCGGTATAATCTGGAAAGATTATTAAATAAGTAACACTGATTACATCTATAATCTTTAATTTATAGGTAGTCTGGAATCCAAATTTCACCATAGGTCAATTATTTGGAATTCAAAAGCAGTTTCCCATAGAAGTAAATGTTGTACATAGCAGTTAGGTTCCCAGGAAATTCCAAGGAGTCTTTTAAATTCGTATTGCACAAGACTACAGAATCTAACCATACAGAGCAGTGCTTTGGTGGGAAAATACGTCTAGAATTCTAGCTTGGAATGCCAGGAACACATCCCCCTGTGCTGCCAGGGTCAGGACACCTTTTATCAAAACTGGCCAAGTTGGGAGAGTAAGAATTCCTCCCAGTCATTCATGGAGACCCTCAAAGGCTCCACCTGGGCAAAGCATAGAGGTAGAGATTCGGAAGAAAGGGTGGATTGTGGGGAATTACCTTTGGGTAAAATCAGATCCTTTGTTTTATTCTGAGGGTCCCATGGCTCTTTTTTTCTATTACTACCTGCTATTTCTGACCCCAAGTCCTCCCATTCCCTGGTCCAAAGAGGAACAGAAGGCAATCTCACAGGTGCCCTTTTGTTTCCTGAGACAAACACACAGTCCTTTTAGTGGTTTTTAGGGTGATATAAAAAAACAAAGGATACCTGTAATCATTTACAATGTAGTTTTTGTTTTAAATTCTGTACTTCTGTCTCTACTTTCCCCCACTACTTGTGCCATCAGAAATCACTTTAACAATGATATTATGGTTATTTTAAAAACAGAATCCTTATCTTTTAGAGATATGTACTGAAATATTTAAGAAGTAGTAATATATTTGGGATTTGATTCAAAATAATCCTGTAGGGATGTGGGAATGGTGAGATACAAACAAAGCAAACTGAAGCTGGGTAGTGGAGGTTAAAACACTATCCTACCTACTTTTGCCCATAAGACATTCAAAACAAAGCAAAACAAACAAAACGTTACCAATGGTGGGAATCCCACCTTGAACCTGGCGTAGGGTGGGGACAAGGAAGTAGGTTACTGAAGCAGAGAACAAAGAGTTCTTGTGCCAGGCAGGCTAAGAAGGAAGTTCCCAAGTGGCTATTCACATGAGTCAGTCCCCGTACAAGGAAAGGGAGAAAGCAGTATGGGCTGGACTATCATGAACAAGGAGGAGAGAGAATTTAAGTTCTGCTTGAAAGAGGTAACATTTAGTTGATGTGAAGGTAGAGAAATGGACTAGTCAAATCAAGGAAAAAGCATGAATAAGGACAGTGATAGGGAAAGAGCAAGCATATCCCATACGGAGCAGCAGGAGTGACAAGATGGTACGTGTAAGCAAGATTAACTTGAGGGCAGTGTGTAGAGCTACACTTTGGGGGCTGCTGCAGTAACTTAGGTTTGAGCGGGTATGGTCCTTGACATGAGGTATGGCAGCAGGGCCAAAAGGCAAGAGAAACAAAGGAAGAAAGGAGGGTAGGCAGGGTGTTAGGGTTACAGAAGGACATTTGGGAGACAGCTGATGGGTTTCAAGTGAGCCTGAGTGTGTGTGTGCTCACTATTTGCGAAAGTAAAGAGAAGGTTCCAGATAAGAGACCAAAATTCGGGGGGAAATCAGGGAACAATAGGAAAGGAAACCAGGGGAAAAGCAAGAGGATTCAAAATTTTTTACATTTTTTTCTTTCTTTTTAAATCTTTAAAAAAAAATTTAAAAACAGGGGCGCCTGGGTGGCGCAGTCGGTTAAGCGCCCGACTTCAGCCAGGTCACGATCTCGCGGTCCGTGAGTTCGAGCCCCGCGTCGGGCTCTGGGCTGATGGCTCAGAGCCTGGAGCCTGTTTCCAATTCTGTGTCTCCCTCTCTCTCTGCCCCTCCCCCGTTCATGCTCTGTCTCTCTCTGTCCCAAAAATAAATAAACGTTGAAAAAAAAAATTAAAAAAAAATAAAAAATAAAAAAATAAAAAAATTAAAAAATGTAAAAAGAAAGAAAAAAATCTGGCACCATGAACCTGAAGGGAAGAAATCCTTCAAAAACAACAATGGTTGACAAAACCAGACCCACAAGAGATGTCAAAAGAGCTAAGGACTGACGTAAGGTCACATGATTTGGCTACATGATAAGAGACCTCTGAGAGAACGGTTTTAGTGAAGTGAACATAAAAACCCATTTGTAGGTGGTTTCGAGGAACACAGGGAAATAAGGAAAACAGGTTAAAGACCTACTTTAGTAGGTCAAAGATGTAGGTATGGGAAATGAAAACATTTTAAATTTATTTTTAATAAGTGAAGAATCAAGTACATTTAGTGTAAGAAATGGTTTAAATCCCAGGAAGACAAAGATGATGCTAGACAAAGAGCAGATTGATGAAGACATGTGGAAAGGGTAGCCCTTAGAGAGGAGTAAATAAGAATCTTCCTCTCTAATGGGACAGAAGGAAGAGTGTGAATTAGGGCAATGATGTGTGTGGTAAGCCAGAGACCAGGGGAAATAAGGGAAGGGAGCATGGGCCAGCCCCATGAGAACCTTGAAACAAGGAGCTTAGATATTACACTGTAGCTAAAATGAACTATGGAAAGGCCAAAGAGGTGGTCTCAAGCATTGTTTTCAGAAAACTAATCTGTAGGACACAGAATACAGGTGGAAGGAAGCAGATGTTGAGAGAAGATGAGGTAGCCTAGTTTGAGTTGAGTTTTTTTCCAAGAGAATTTCACACTGTCCAGGCATTGTGAATACAAGCCATCTTCCTCTATCTTCTTCTTCCTACCCCAGAGTAATTTCTGGGGCAGCTTTGAAAATGGCTGTGTTCAGTCATAAAGGAAGATCAGGTAGAGCAAAGTCTAGCTATGATAGATAATATCTCAGTCAGGGCAATCTTCATATTCATTTAGGGCTCTAAAAAGCTCACAGGGACTCCAGGAGCCCTCTTTTCTTCTCATGAAAGACAGAGCTTCTCCTTTAAACCCAAGATATGCTCCTTCCCCTATTTGGCCACTATGCATTCATTGAGATCTTGATTTTGCCCTAAGTTACATATACCATATAAATATTTTTTGAGGCATAATTTTTGGATGCGAGGAGACGTGGTCAAGATGTTGTACAGATTAAGCAAACATATGAGACCAGATTCTGACAGGTGAATAAGTGAATTAAAAAAAAAAAAAGAATGAGAGTGGTTATACTGTAAGATTCTATTATTGAAGATTATTATTTTTTTCTAATTAAAATACTACCCAAATTTGAAGCACTTAAAATTTCCTTGCCTGGGGCACCTGGGTGGCTCAGTCGGTTAAGCATCCGACTTCAGCTCAGGTCACGATCTCGCGGTCCGCGAGTTCGAGCCCCGCGTCGGGCTCTGGGCTGATGGCTCAGAGCCTGGAGCCTGCTTCCGATTCTGTGTTTCCCTCTCTCTCTGCCCCTCCCCCATTCATGCTGTCTCTCTCTCTGTCTCAAAAATAAATAAACGTTAAAAAAAAAAAAAATTCCCTTGCCTGTTAAAAGGTCTAACCTGATATTTATATCTGATAGATGAATATGTAGTTCACTTTAAATAAGTAACTCAGCCTGAAGGCTTGAAAAAGGAGGCAGTAAGGGACAGACACAAGTTTGTGTGTCTTCATGATTTCCCGTTTACCCTTGGTTTTTCCCCACTGTCTAGCTTTTCTTCCTGACCCTCAGATCTGTGAATCTTTAGCAGCTCAGGCATTCAGAAGCCTTCTGTACAATTCTTTGTGTGCTCTCACAACTGTACAAGGCATCATATTTATTGTAAATACTTATTCTCTACCTTTATAGTGGTCCAGGTTCTTTCTTCCAACCTTGATACATCCATCCTATCATTTTACGATGAATAATATTAAAATGTCTTACCACAATTGAGACTACAGAGTTGCTCAACTCTACATGCCTATTGGGGAAGACAAAGATAACCTCCTTATCAGAATTTCCATGCTCAGCAAGTATGGTGGCAATGGGCAGGCTAACACTCATAAAGCCAACAATTGTGCAATTATATAACTGGACAGAAAAAAAACGGACACAATAGTAACCTCAAAAGAAGCCACAATGTGCTGTTCTTTATAAATATAAACGACAGGCCTGAGATATCATTTGTAAGGCACGCATTTTGATTAGACTCTTGCGAAGACAGGTTTGAACAGATATACTCACATCTAAAGGGTCTCTCTTAACATACACAAGTAGAAGACAGGGATGGTTATTCATTTATTTATTAAAACTTCATTTTTTAATACTTCATTTATTAAAACTATCTAGATTTATAAAAGTGCTTTCATTATCCCCTCCCCCACAATAACACACTACATTTATACATTTACCTGAAATTCATCCATGATACTGAACGTGTACTCATGCCTGGCTACTACATGATGACAATTCTTACACAGATCTGCCAAAACAGAGAGAGACTTAAATAATTAAGTCTTGGAAGATGTCTTAAGACAGTAAAATTTCTATTCTCTTCATGGTATTACTTTAAAAGAATCTTAAGTGATATATTTAACAGAGCAGCTGGAAACCCATTATAAAATCTACCTTGATAAGAAATCCAAAATCTGTCACATAGCAATACTACATAATGAAGGGCCTCAACTCAGAGGTTTAACAAGCATATATTAATTCCCATTCTCAGAACCTATAGAAACTGCTAGTAAAACCAATCATAAATAAAAAAGTCAATGCTAGACATTATAAAGTGAATTTAATGGCAACGAAAGACTCTACTAGAAACATGATAATAATAATAACTATGATTTTTTGAGTGCTTACTGTGTGCCAGAAACTGTTTTAAATACTTTTTATCTGTTTATTTAATCTTCTCAAAACCCAAAGAAGCAGATACTTGTTATCACCTTTTTAAGGATTAGGAAACAAAGACACACCATGGTTAAGTAATTATTAGCAAGACTGCCGAGCTAGGAAGTATTGGCAATAGAATTCAAACCCATGCATTCTGGCTCCAGGGCCCTTGCTCTTACCTACTATGTCCTACTACCTGGTACAAAATAGAGTTTAAAGGGTTATGTCTAAAAGAAAGAAAAAGATTTTTCTACTTTAGAACACTTTTGATAGTCTGATTCAATTCTAAAGGCTTAGTGTCTTTCATAACCTGTTTTCAAAATATCATTATTTGTACATTTATTCCTCATATTCAGAACATACCAAAGCACCAAGAGAGAAGCAAAACGGGGATGTGAACAGTTTAAATTCTTGTCACTATACCCTAAAATGTATATGGGCTTCCTTTACTAAATTAAATGGCCCTAAAATGTATATGCACTTAATTTACTCATAGAAATTCTTAGTGCCAACCTCAGAATTGATTCACGTTCATTATACATAGTTGATTGATTTGGTTTCCCAGTATTGAGGATGAGGAGCAGCATATGAAGGTAGCACAGCAAAAGAAATAACCAACTAACAATGAGATGGGAGACAAAAAAAAAAAAACAAAAAAAAAACCCACGAGAAAGAAACAAGACAAAAAACCCATTACATCCAGGGTCATTTAGTATAGCAGCAAACAGCCCTAAACACTTTAGTGGCTGTTGGAGGATATCACTGTATTAGACTACAGTAAAAAAAAAAAAAAAAAAAAAGAAAGAAAGAAAAAGAAAACACACGAATGACCCTAAGGTTAAAAAAAAGTCTCTATAGGGGCGCCTGGGTGGCGCAGTCAGTTGAGCGTCCGACTTCAGCCAGGTCACGATCTCGCGGTCCGTGAGTTGGAGCCCCGCGTCAGGTTCTGGGCTGACAGCTCAGAGCCTGGAGCCTGTTTCCGATTCTGTGTCTCCCTCTCTCTCTGCCCCTCCCCTGTTCATGCTCTGTCTCTCTCTGTCCCAAAAATAAATTAAAAAAAAAAACGTTGAAAAAAAATTAAAAAAAAAAAAGTCTCTATATCTTGTTTCAGAAGGCATAAAGGCTTTAAAAACAAACAAACAAACAAAAAATGGTACCTGAGTCATAGGCTTCATTTATCTGCAAAAATCACTCAGGCAGAGTATCTGATGATGCTATCATCATCTGTATTTTCCTCTTAAAAGACTAACTAGTATCTCTATGTTACAATACAATATTGAAATAGGCCTCATAAAATAAAATATATCAATAGGCACAATGTATCAGCTTTTAAAAGCTGGTATCTCCTATCAGACTTGCATGAAAATAAAGAATCTACTTACGATCATAGGTAACTATTTCTTCTCCATCCTCCTCCTTCAAAGATTTGTTTGTGATCAGCATAAAATCCCGCTTATTGCACACTGCACAGCCTGTAAAGTTCAGCAAGAAAGATCCATTCTCCAGGCAGATGTTACCCTAAAATATTAAAAATAGGAATTTAATTTTCTTCTATTTCAAAACCCTTGGTGAAAATAATTAATAGACTAAAAATTTCTAAAGGCAAAAAAACATGGCTAGAATTGACTTGCTTGAAAACTGTACCAAGTAATTTTTGAAATTACTAGCTTTCCTCTAGAAGGGCTATTTATGGCAAATAAAACTGAAGCAGTGTTAAAGCTGTTAAGTCTCTGAGGACAGCAACTGTATCCGAGAGGACTAAATGCATATGGATTTTTAGAAACACACTGAAGCTTTAATAATATAAAATATGAAAAAGAAAAATTAGAAAAATCCAATAGCCAACAATATTTAAATGAGGCAGATCCTAAAACTAGAATTAAAATTGAACTAATGATAAAAAATGATCTTATACAATGTGTTGCTCAGTTGATTGTTGAAATAACATTTTCTGATGCCTTAAAAATAACACAAAATAAGCAAACAAGAATAAACCCTCAGCTCTATAGATGTCAATCCTTAAGGGTATGTGTGATTCAGGCAGTGAAGATAAGCTCTCAACTCGTCAGCCTGACACCATGGCATTCAAGGGAGAAAGGGTTTTGCTTCATCACTAAGAAACTGTTAACAACTTATGCTCCTGGCTCAAGGGAGTTCTTTTCTAGAGGCTTACCAGTAATTGTTCAGAAAGTCATTTTATAAATAATCTAATTCAACCTCATTCTGACCAATAGGGTATTTTTAACAGTTGATGTGACTAAAAACCAGTCAAATCAATATTTCTCCAATGCAGCTATGTGCCCGATACTGTGCAAAGCACAGGGAAGGATTAGAGGGTGAGTCATATCTTTCCACCTTTGAGGAGCTTATGAACTCTCAGGAAGACCAACTTTAAGCGATGCCATAAGTGAAGCCTTCCTGGATTCCCAGCACCACAGTTAACCTCTCCCTTTTGAGTGGCTCCTTGAGGCTATGTACTAACAAAGAGATTTACTCTGTTGGGGCAAGGGGGGGTGGAGAAGTGAGGAAATCAATCTAACTATGTAGTCGGGAGATACTAAATCATAGACACAGCAACTTAATTACTAAAGGTGGAAAAAAAGGTCTTGAGGTTAAAGTATAAATTTCCAGCTATTAAAAACAGGTGCTTTGTTTTAAAAAATAAACTTCACTGAAGTATAATTTATATGCAATAAAATCCACACATTGTAAGGGTATACGTGAACGACTTATATACCAATATATATAGGCATATATTTCAACGTAACCACTACCTCAATCAAGATATAAAAAGTTTTATCTTCCCAGGAAGTTCTTTTATGCTTTGCAGTCTATCTCCAACCCCTTCTCAGGTACCCCTTGATCCAATTTCTATCTCTAGTTATTAGTTTTGGTTGTTATAAAATTTTATATAAATAGAATCATGCAGTATACTCTTCTGCATCTAGTTTCTTTTGTTCAACATAAAATCCATGTTATTTATGTTGTTGTATGCATTGGTAATTTATTGCTTTTTATTGCCAAATCTATTGCATGGATTCATCTGTCAATAGACTTTCAGGTCCTTTTCAGTTTGGGACTATTATGAATAAAGCAGCTACAAAGATTCATTAAGGGGGCGCCTGGGTGGCACAGTCGGTTAAGCGTCCGACTTCAGCCAGGTCACGATCTCGCGGTGCGTGAGTTCGAGCCCCGCGTCGGGCTCTGGGCTGATGGCTCGGAGCCTGGAGCCTGTTTCCGATTCTGTGTCTCCCTCTCTCTCTGCCCCTCCCCCGTTCATGCTCTGTCTCTCTCTGTCCCAAAAATAAATAAACGTTGAAAAAAAAAATTAAAAAAAAAAAAGATTCATTAAGTCTTATGTAGACATATGCCCTTCTCTTGAGTAAACATCTAGGAGTGGAATTGCTGAGTCATATGGTAAAAATATGGTCCATACAAACTTTAGAACTGCCGGTTAGTTTTCCAAAGTTTCCCATTTTCCATTCCCACCAGAATTGTGTGAGTTCCAGTTGCTCCATATCCTCACCAACCCTAGATACTGTGTCTTTTCTTATTTTAGCCATCCTAGTCATGTAGAGGTATCTCATAGTAGTTTTTATTTGGCATTTCCCTCATGACTAACAACGTTAAGCATGTTCTCAGGGTGCCTACACATGTGCCTTCTTTTGTGGAGTGTCTATTTAAGTCTTGTCCATTTTTGTTTATCTTATTATTTAGTTATAAGAATTATTGAGTTATAAAAGTTGTTTTTTTTTTAAGTTTACTTATTTATTTTGAGAGAGAGCACAAGTGGGGATGGGGCAGAGAGAGAGAGAGGGAGAGAGAGAATCCCAAGCAGGCTCTGTGCTGTAAGTGCAGAGCCCAACACCAGGCTCGATATCATGACTTGAGCTGAAATCAAGAGGCCGATGCTCAATTGAGCCACCCAGTGCCCCATAAGAGTTCTTCATATACCTTAGATACAAATCTTCTCAGATTGGTATTACAAATATTTTGTTACCGATGTGCTGTTTTTTAAATAATGTCTTTTGAAGAACAGTTGATTTTTATGAAGTCTAATTTATCAAAGCTTTTCTTTCACTATTTGTATTTGTCTTCTAAGTCTAGTATTTTTCATCTGTGAAAAATATCTACAAGTCTCCAGAAAAATTTATGAAACCCAAATAAATAATTAAATATTTAGGGGTGCCTGGGTGGCTCCGTCGGTTAAGCGTCCAACTTAGAGCTTCTCAATATGCTAATCCATTATTTTTCTCTGCCACGGGTAGACTATTCTTGCTACCACTACCTTATTGTCCCTTTGCTAAGTTCAAAGTGACTTCTGTTCTTACTCCCCTCAGAAATATCTCATGACTTCGATAACCCCCAGAGTTGGAAAGACCTTTGAGATTTCAAATGGTCAAGTTAGCTTCTCCTGAACAACAGAAGAGAGTTCAATTCCTCTCAGGGTTGCCCGTTCCATTTTGAAAATCTGTTAAAAGTTCTTTATTCTGATTCAAAGCCTAAACCCAATAACATCCACCCACTATTTCTAAATCTGCCTTCTGAAATTCCAAAAAGTTTAATTCTTACTCATGACAGCCCTTTAATTATTTTAGAACAGAATAAAGTCAGAAAAAAGTGCTTATGAAAGGCACCTTCCTGGTTTTCCAATTGCCTCATTCCTTTTCTCTACTCTTTTTCTTATACTTTATTTTCATTTTCTAAATTAATTTATTCCTTGAAGCCCAGTCTTTGATTCTACTTGATTCTCCAGTCTTTTTCTAAGAAAACAGATCATTTCTATTTTGACACTTTTATTTGGCTAACTCATCTGTTTGAATCTTGCACCTATACTGCAATCTTATATTTTCACTTGATTCCTCGGGTGTTACATTCTCAATCTTGGATGAAACATGATAAAAACAACCTGACCATGTGCCCCCCAATTTTGGTTCTCTCTCACACATGCCACCAATTTCTGTAATGATACTTCCAATTTCCCAATTGCCTAGATTGAAAACCTAAGATCACCTGTAGGTCTTCCCTCCATTAAATGGGCTGAGTCCTATTAATTCTTTCTTCAAAATGAGGCTTTCATTATCTCATGCCTACCCTACTATTTTCATGACTCCCCAAAAACTCTGTAGGGCTCTCCCTTTTACATTCCCCTCATCCCATAACCTCAACATACAGCCATAGACTGATTTCCCTAAATAACAGATTTCAGGGTTATTTTCCTATTCACTTTTTTTGATGGGTGCTCAATGCCTAAAGTGTAAAACCTAAATTTCCTCATACAATTTTAAAATCTTTTGATTGGCTCAATTCTTAAGAACCCAACCTAATCTCTTTAATACTCTTCACTACAAACACCTCCTTCACATGGTCTCTGAAAAGTGCAGTGTTCATTACTGGATTCATAAAAATTTATTTTTAAACTTTAAAAAAAGTATGAAATAGAATGCAATACAGAAAAGCGTATGAAACAGCACAATGCCTCTAGCTAGTAGTCAGTAGTACCCCCAGTTGTGACAACTAAAACTGTCTACAGATAGTGCCAAATGTCCCCTGGGAGGCCAAAGTCACACCTAGTTGAGAACCACTGCTCTAATTCATTCCATTATTCATTCATGGTGTTCCATTCTATGGCTATATCCCACTTTTCCAGTCTACTCCTGCAAGTGATGCTCTTATGAACATTCTTACACAAGTTTCCAAGAACATATGTACATGCATTTATTTCTCTAGAATGAGAATTGCTGGGTCTTTCAGTATGCAAATCTTTGATAATACTAAACCTTTTTCCCAGGAGGCCGTACCATGACTGTTCATGTTACACCTCCTTCCCCAAAGCGAAGTATTACTCAAAATATTAAGAGGCAGAGCAGCTATAGATCTTCTGCCGCCCAACCATTACAAGAATCCTTGTTCTTACAGTCTCCAAGCCGCTGGCTCCTCCTTGCCTTCTTTTCTACCCTAGTCACAACTCGCCTCCAAGTCCCAAATGAAGTCTACCTTTCTTTTGGGAGAACAGCGTTATTGCTCTCCCCTTTCTCTAAAGTTGAATATCACTTATGAACTGTACTACTCATTTTTTGTTGTTAAATCACATACTCTAAACTGTAAGCTCTCAGGAGGCAATGAAGCTGCCTTTTATTTCATCTTTGGTATCTCTTTCTGGTCTAGCTACACACATAAATGTTCAATAAGTATACCTTGAATAAATGAGAGTAAACAAGCTTCGGCAACCTCCGGAGATTGAGAGGAACAGGTATTTTTTTTTAAATACTCAGGAAATCTGGTTTCTGGCCTTGACTCAGGTTAACAGAATGTTGAAATTTATTTCCCCTCTCTGGGCATTAGTTTCATCTGCAAAACCGTGTCAACGACAGATGACCTCAGAGGTCCCTTCCAGCGCTAGACTTCAGTAAGAAAAGGGAATTTCACCAAATCAAGCTTGACAATGTCATCAGCGGTGGCGGGAGGGTGTCCCTTTGTCGTCGACTGGATTGTTGGTGGTGTGGGGTTTCCTTTGTTGTACCCTGGAACTTAAGAGAAGTGGGGCGACGGCTGAGATCAGCCCCCAGGGCGTGGACCGGCGGGCAGAACCGACGGCCACCGGCCGCCCCCGCCGTCAAGTGCCTAAATACAGCTACCGGGTCACCGGAATGGGCAGAGCGGCAGGGTCGTCCCGCGCTCGGCCTCTCAGGGAAGGCCGGCCCGGGGTATGAGGAGCCTCGGGGGCTGGCCACCGGCCAAGGGGGCGAGAAGTTCTCGGCGCCCACTCGCTCACCCGGTTGGGATACTCCTTCTCCACACAGCCCCCACACATCCCGACGCCGTTCACAAGGGCCGTCCTCTAGTGCTTCCGGAAAGACGAAGCCTCGCGAGAGCAAAGGCACAGTTGCCGCATGCGCCCCAGGTACTCTACCCTGGAGTGTTTGCTTTCGGGAATCTACTCGAAGTCTCCGCCCCTTAGCCCCTGTTGTGAGGGCAGGGCCTGGTCTCCCAGGCAACAACGGCCGGCCAAGAGTGGGACTTCGGAAACCTTCGGAAAAAGGGGGCGGGCCCGTGGACCCTGTGGCGGGAACCCGGAAGGGAACGCGGAAGAAACAAAGTTCTGCTGTAGGCTCCCTCCTCAGCCTAGGCTAGGCTGACAGAAAGGCGAGTCATTATACACACGAAAGGGAATTGTTTCTCGCTGCCTCGGCTTACCCCATACAGAAAGCTGAAATTATAGTAATTTAAATACCTTTCCATACCAGTGAGACAGGTGAATAAGCAATAACCAAAGCGTTGGCCAAGAGGCACTTAGAGCTCTTCAGAGAATCTCCTAAAACTGCTAAAAAAAAAAAAAAAAAAAAAAAAAAAACCCAAACACATTTGAAATGTTAATAATAAATGACCATTATTTATCCCATTAGCGATGGGAAACGTGTCGCCGAAGCACCTCAGAGGCTTGCACACACTGTGCAAATAGAAAATGGCGAGGTCCAGCCTATGGAGCTCAAAATGCTTGTGGTTGATGCCCTGCCTTTTCCTTTTCCTCCGTATTGAAAGCATCTTACTTTTCATAGTGATGTAATTAACTTGAATACGAATATCCAAAAATCTGTCTTTGTGCTTCTGAAGAACCTGTCATCATACCCAGCTACACCAATAGAGATATTTAATGGGAGCATCAGCCTCCTTCCTCAACCCTGCCTATCGCAGTCAAGTCAGTGAGGAAATCAGGGAGCATATGAGACTCTGGGATCCAGGTTCTTTTTTGTTTTTTTAAGTTTATTTATTTATTTGGGGGGGGGGGGGCGCGGAGAGAAGCAGGCCTCGCAGCCAGAGCAGAGCCTGTTGTGGGGCTCCATCCCACCAACCCTAAGATCAACACCTGAGTTGAAATCAAGAGTCAGATGCTCAACTGACTGGGTCACCCAGGCGCTCTTGGGATCCAGGTTCTTTAAAAAGAGATTAATAACCATTTCAAAGTTCACTCTACTCTTGGAATAATTGCAATGCCTTCCATTCTGTATGACATTTTCAACGTTTCAAAGTGTTATCATTTCAGTTTCCAATTTTATGCCTTTACAGTCCTATAAGAATGGTAAAAAAAAAAAAATGTGTCTCCCCTTTTCAGATGAGGAAACAAGGAAATAAGTGGTTAAAGGTCTTATCTGTGGTAACAAAGCTGCTGGTAGTCGCCCAGGACTCGGACTTAGTTCCTACCCTGGACTCACCTTCTTCTTTTTTTTTTTTTCCAACGTTTATTTATTTTTGGGACAGAGAGAGACAGAGCATGAATGGGGGAGGGGCAGAGAGAGAGGGAGACACAGAATCGGAAACAGGCCCCAGGCTCCGAGCCATCAGCCCAGAGCCTGACGCGGGGCTTGAACTCACGGACCGCGAGATAGTGACCTGGCTGAAGTCAGACGCTTAACCGACTGCACCACCCAGGCGCCCCTCAACTTCTTTTTAATACAGTAGGTAGTAGCCACATGTGGCTATAAAGCACTTATACATGTGGCAAATTTGATCTGAGATGTATTGTAAGTACATTCTACAAACTAGACTTAGAAGACAGTATGAAAAAAATGTAAAATATTTCATCAGTTATTTTTATATTGATTACATGTTAAAATAATTGCGCTAAATAAAAACATATTATTAAAGTTAATATCATCTGTGTTTTAAATCTGGCTACCAGAAAATTTTTAATTAACACTGGTAGCTTGTAATTATATTTCTGCTTGACAGGGCTGGTCTATACAATTCTCTCTCTTTTTAAAAGTTTTTTTTAGAGACAGAGTGTATAAGC